GCAGCCCCGCCTGCCGGCCCGCGGGCCCCGGGGGTCCGCTGCGCTGGCAGCCCCGCTCCTGGTGACCCAAGGTCCAGCGGCGAACCACTTGGTGGTGCAGAGGAGAGACCCCCGGCCCTTCGCCAAGAAGCCGAGGCGCCTGCTAGGGGCCGCGCGCCGTGGACTGAGCAGGCATCATCTCTGGGAGCACTTCTGCAGACCGAAGCCTTCGGTGTGAGCCATCTAGCTCTCCCCGCGACCGCCCGGACCTCCCAACCGTCTCTGCTGCCCTAGCCTCCGCGCCGTGGGGCCGGGAGCGGCTGGGATCCTCGCCAGCCATCCGGAGCGCGAGGCTCGCACAGTCCCCGGCTGCCCCGCGCCTCGCCGGAGCACGAGGGGGCGCGGGTCCGGGGCGAGGGCCGACCGGGCGTGTTTGATGGCTTCACTGAGAAGAGTCAAAGTGCTGTTGGTGTTGAACTTGATCGCGGTGGCCGGCTTCGTGCTCTTCCTGGCCAAGTGTCGGCCCATCTCTGTGCGCAGCGGAGACGCCTTCCACGAGATTCGGCCGCGCGCCGAGGCGGCCAACCTCAGCGCGCACAGCGCCAGCCCCATACAGGATGCGGTCCTGAAGCGCCTCTCGCTGCTCGAGGACATTGTCTACCGGCAACTGAATGGTAAGGACGCACGCGGATGCCCACGGGGCTCGGCGCGGGCGGGCCGGGCACCGGGTTTACCCCGGAGGCCCTGCGCGCGGTGCGGGAGGCAAGCACCTCCTGGCTCCCCCGCGCCCTTTTACTCTTCCTGCTCAGTCTCGGCCAGGAGGCCAGGGCTGCTGGAAAGAATTACCCGTTTCTTTTCTGTTCTCCAGCTGTAAGTTTGCTTTTATCGTGGAAACACGTCAGCACAGCTGGCTCCCGGTCTCCGCGTGCAGGAATGATTACCTGGCCGCTCCGGCCCAAGTGCGGAAACTAGACGCGCGGCCAAATGGGACTGGAGGCGCAGGCGACTTAAGGGAGGAAAGAGCTCTTACAGCTTAACGTTTGGTGGGGTCGGACAGGGGAGGGACACTGGCCTGCTTAAATGTCTGCAAAAGTCAAGGCCTCAGGTCTGGAGCTAACGTGCTTCGGTAGTAGGTTGGAGGAATGTTATCTGTCTAGGAGGCGGGCTGCAGGCTAGCAGTGAGGACTCCTCCCTTCCCGCAGCTGCCTTGGTGAGCCTGCTATTAAAGACACGCTCGGATTCTCCCGAGAGAGCCGCCTGAGGGCAATTGTTAAAGTTTGAGGTGGGTTGGGGAAGCAGGTTTTTAGAGAGTGTAGCAAAGAGAGGTGTGCCATCCAATCAGTGATAGTTGTCAGAATCTGTCCGATATGAAATGTTCTCCTCAGTGCTTCAGGAGAAGAGAGAGACTTTTAATATACCCTGGTCACATCTGGTCCAGGAATTGATGGGTCATTGGACATTTGCTGCCCCCAAGGTCAACGTATTACTCACTTGAGTATGGACAGCTCTCCAGGGTCCATGTGACTGGTGTCCAAGTCAGATTCAAGGCTGCCACCTCCCTTCCTGAGCTTCTAACTCATGTCCTCATGGTAATTCCAGAGCTACTGATAGTCATAAGGATAATGATAATAATTAGTGGTGGAATTGTTATTGTGCCAGACACAGTGCCAAGACTGTTACAAATGCATTATCTCACTGAGTGGTCACATCAGTCCAGGGTGGTTCTTTCCTTTCCCCATATCAGAAATAAGAAAAAGAGGCTTGGAGGGGTTAACTAAGTTGCCTGATGTCCTGCTGCTAGTAAGTGGTAGAGTCTGGAGTCAGAACCCCATGTCTGGTTGACCAAAGAGCCTGTGTTCTTGACAGCTTCTATCTACTGTCTCCTCCTAGTTATAAGGAGTATTCATTTTGATTACAAAAAGATTCTACATTAGTGAGACTTGACTCAGCTACTGTCCTACTTGCATTTGGAGCAAGAGACCAGTCCGGTGGCAGGCAGGGAGAAGGGTGTCACCATATTGTCTTCTGCTTTCCAATGCTCCCTTCTGGGTCCTTCCTGGTGGGATGGGGTCAGATTTCCAAGCACCCTCTGAAAGGACCCCTTGGTCTTCTTGATATCATTCAGCAAGTATCCAGGGGATACCTTGAACTTGTATCTGCAGTGGGACGCTGCAATCCCACTGACCCCTTGTCGGTAGCGGGGCCCAGCTGTAGGTGTGGCCTGGCTGCAGGTGTCCCCTGTGGGGTTCTTGTGGGAGCTCTTCTCCTGAGTGTTGAAGACCCAAGGCACAGAATGAAACAAAAGCCCACAGTTCATCTCTGGAGGAATTAGATGCTTATGGGATGGGCCTTATTGTTTTACACAGATCCGTGCTATAGACCAATCCATAAGACCCAAAAGAGAGAGTGCAAGATAGCTGGTTCCCTCAAGTGTCAGGCTGTACCCAGGGACACAAGTCATTTCAATTAGGAAATGAAATATGATATACCCCCACCCACCCAGTGCCCCAAATAAGAATAATAAAATTCTAAAGGGTATTTACTAAGTGCCACTAAGATGCAGGGACTCGTTAAGTCTTTCCAGCAACCCTAGGAGATGGGTGCTGATCCTTCCCCCTAAGTTGCTTGCTCACAGCCACCCAGCTAGGGGGTGACAGAGCTGGGAATTGAACTTGGACAGTCTGCTTCCAGGATTGAGGTTCTCAGCTGCTGCACTGGCGTGTCTCAACCTTTGGTGTGTGTCGGTGGGGACCTGAGACTTTGCATCTCTGACAAGCTTGTGGCCTGGACCATGGCCCAGTGCCCTCTACTGCCTATGCCGGGCAGAGTAAGGAGGAAAATCCATTTGCCTGTTGGTTGGAGTGGGGGTGGGGACTTCTGGGAAGCTGTGAGTTTGCTTCAGATGGGCTGGGGTTCGGTTTCTTTCCTTGTATACTCCTCTGCCTGGTAAGCGATTCCCTGGGGGTTTGGGGATGTCCGCCACTTGGGACTGGTTGGGTTGGGTTGGGTTGGGTGTGGTGGGGTGGGAAGATGAGTTTTCTTTACTCGCAGTCTCTGAGGAAGGCTGGGTTGAGAACTTTTCCTGGGCAAGCCAGGAATTCAAGCTGTAACCAAGGTAGCTGTTCTCTTCCTGGCTGACCAGTGTCATTTGTAACGACCTTCCTGATCTCCACCCCACCCCCCAGCGCTCCATCCTCTGCCTGTGCTAGTTTTGCGTAAAGCGTGCCCCACCTGTTGATACTGTAGGCCTGCCGCGGTCTCCTGCTGTGGCGGGAGAGTGCCAGGGGAGGCGGGTGCCTGGGAGATGGGACCTGGATTCCCGCGTCCACTTGCTCTGCAGCCTGTCTCCACCTCTTGCTGCTGAAGAAGGTAACCTTGACCTTGGTGCTCTTTATTCCTCAGGAATTAATGGAGGGCTTGAGAGAGCTGGGCACTGGGCATACAGGAGGAACAGAGACACTTGGGTCCAGCCCCTCAGGTACCAAGTGGGAGCTGGTGTTTTAATGTTGGCTCCGATTTCTCAGACCTTTCCAGTGGACCCTTATGAAGTTCAAGCAGGAGGGACAGAGCACAGCCATCTCCAGTGTTCTCTCACTCCTGGAACGGTTTCCTTGGGTGTCCTGAGAGGGGCCCCTGGGCTGGGGTGGGGGGGCAGGGATGACCCAGACTTCCTCAGAACTGGCCTCTCCGCTAAGACTCTTGGTGCCTGCCTTTTGAAAATCAGTTACACGTTTTTATGGTTTTGTTTTTCTTAATATAGGCTGAAAATGACACATGAAAGGGAAAGTGGAAAAGCTGGTATGGAGGGGAAAGCACACAGAGATGAGTTCATTTTTGTCCCTCCAGACTCTCTTGCACCTGCCCTTGCATTCTTTCCGTGAGGCCGCGTCTGCTGCCCCCTCACTGTTGGTGCAGGACCCTTTAACCCAGGGCCCTGCCACCCCTCCTTTCTGTGTTTCCAGCTGTCTGCATGGAAAGCACCGCTTCCAAAGGGCCCAAGACCTTCCGGTGGTTTTGTGTTTCCTAAGGAACCGTGGTCAAGCCTGGAGGCTGACAGTCAGGCCCGCTGCCCGCCCCCCCACCCATGTTCCGGCCCTGGCCCAGTGCCTCGGCCTCTTCGAGCAAGACTGATCTCCTTGCTGAAATAACCCTGCATTTGTCTTACGATTGTAGCCTCCACGTTTCAGATCCCGTCTTTGAGAAGTGCTAGCTGTCCTGGTTTGCTCTCCCTGCCTCCTTTCTGCATCCATCCATCCTTTAAAGCTTGGCTCAAGGTCACCACCTGGGGGTGGGCAGTGGTGCCAAGCCACACGGTCTGAGCTCTCCCTGCTCCAAGGCGCTTGAAGCTTTCTTGTCTTGCACCCATGGCTTTGACTTTTGTGCCTCGGTGGCTTTATCTTTTGACTCCAGAACTGGACTGCAGGCTTTTTAAGGTCTCGAACCATATATTGGGTTATTTAATACCACCTCCATCCTTCAGCATGTGTCACAGCACCTTGTACATAATGTGGGCACCAAAGGTGTATTGGTTGATTAATTGGATGGGAGCTAGTTTTAGGAGGTAAATGATAGCCACAGAGGAAATAACCTTGACATTGTAAAGGCTGGATTGGGTTGGGTGGATGTGGTGAGGGGAAGGAGTTGGGAAGACTTAGCTGGGGGGACTGAGTGCGAGGTGGCCATCTTGCCGGTGCCATCCTGTCCCCGCCATCTTGCCTGTGCCATCTTGAGGCTGCTCTGGTCCTTCACCAGATCCTGACTAAAGAGCATCAGATCCTTGGGAGGACCCTGGAAGTGAAACAGTCCCCAGGTTAGGGACCAGCACGTTTCAGTATGTTTCCTTTGAATGTGTGATTTTCTAACATGATGGCTTTATGTTCCTTTCTCTCTCTAGAATGAAATTAATTCATGTTTTATTGTGGAAATTTTGGAAAATCCAAAACGATTATACAGAACAAAATAATACCGTGTTAAATTTTTTTTGTTTTAAATGGTGGCTTTGTACTGGCATAAGGAAAATGGACACAGGGATAGATTTCTTGTTAGAATTCCCGTGTAACTCTGTACAGGGCTTTTGGCTGTCTGTCACATTCTGAGGAAGTTACTGGTTTCTCTCATTTTCGAGCTGAGAAAAGTGAGACACAGAGATGCTGTGTGACTTAGCCAGGATGACACAGCCAGTGAGGGGCAGAGTCAAGATTCCTGAATATCACGGTACTTTTCCCAGGTCCAGCATCCCCTTGATAGGGCAGGCAGGGTGAAGGTCCTGTGCCCCATGCAAGCCCCGAGTTCTGGCTGGTGACCCCCTCCCTCTTCTGCACCCCCGTGCGGTGAATCACAGGGGCACGTGTGGCTGCTCCGTCCAGTAAGCCCCGAGCCCCGCTGTCGTAAGAGGAAATGCAGTCGATTGAGGTTAGGTTCCAAATTTAGTTTTCAGAAGGATATCGAATAGAAGTAGGGTTGCTCGAAGAAATTGAATATCTTTGCAGGCATGGAGAGAAGTCAGAATTACCCAGCCCAGTCCTGCCTCCAAGCCACACAGGCAGATGAAGCTGGAGTCGGAGCTGCAGAAAACCAACACGTTCCCAAACAACCCACATGCAGCCCACCCAGCCTGCCACATCAGCCAAGCCCACCAGGCGGGGAAAGTGAGTTGGTGCAGAGGGAGAGAGGC